AAATTACTGTCAAACACGTAAGAAAAATGTCGTTTTTTAATTTAGAAACCGAGCGTTGCCCATATCAATTACTTAAAAGTTATAGCTTTTAACGATGATGTAGCAGATACGGATGAGAATTTCAACTTGATATATAATGATGAATGAATATTATTAGTCTGAGATAGCGTACTAAATGTGATTTGGAACTTGTTGAACTTGAATGTTTGATATCTGAGTTAAGACATATTATGAGAAAAGGCAAAGTTTTAAATTGTGAGACAAACCAACGCATTTGTTCGTGTCTTTAGCAATCTGCACGTCACCTTGCCAGAATAGTGGTACATGCAGTAGTCCAAACACATGCACCTGTACTTCTCAATGGTCGGGAAGCGTTTGTCAAACACCAGTATGTAGTCCAACTTGTCAGAATTCTGGCAGTTGCACTGCACCAAATACATGCAGTGAGTAGTTAATAGGATAAACGCAGTGCTGGGGGCATTTATACATCTATTTATTTTAAGATTGTATCAATGGATATTCAGGATCTTACTGTCAAATTGGTAAGCGTAATTGGTTTCATACAAGTCACAGTCAAAGTTGGTTGCATGTGAATTTTGCTTTCAGCTCCAACAACAGTAGCAGCAACGACAATCTATGTTCCGCCATGTAAGTAAGCAAAATGCTTAAATAAGTTCTTTAAATCCCACATCATTAGTCAAAATAAATAATAGCTAACTCAAATTGATATTGCAAACAATAAAAACACACGATGTTTTTAAATTTGATCTAGATCAGAGCAATCTTAAAAAATATTTTAAAAAGAAGCACATATTTTTCCAGTTATACAACAGAATGTATAGATTTTGTATTGAAAAAGTAGCAATATAGTAGCACTTTTAATGGTTGGGATAAGTTACTGACTACCATTCTGGGTTGAACATGTACTAGGTAGAATTCTAGCAACATAAGATTCGTACATATTTATTTTACGTTCTATAATTCTTAGCTGTTTTTTTATTAGCAATTTTTCAAAATTCTTGTACATCGTCGTTATCCAGTCCAGTGACATTACTGTACATATCAAACGCTAATTCGTTTGGCTATAACTACTATCAATATAACTATCAAGCTATCAATTATCAGTCAACAATTACGCTGGCTTTTCGTCAAGATCCAAGTTACTGGTGTCTGGACGACATAGCGGTATCATATGGAGGAGTTAATTTAGTTACAAATGGTGGATTTGAATCTGGTACGCTCTCAGGCTACTTCGTTTTTTGTAATCCAAATAGTGCAAGTGCATCTGGTCAGGTTTATGCTTATTGTGCTCATAGTGGTACTTATTCATATTATGATGGATCGGTACAGTATTCCGATTACATAAGTCAGACATTTGGAACAGTGAGCGGTCGAACGTATCAAGTTAGTTTTTGGTTAAGTAACCTGGGCGGACCGACAAATAGCGCTACAGTTATCATCAGTGCTTAAATTGCTGAAACGAAGATAATTTTTCCATTGAAAAATTCCAGTTCATAGTTTATACATAATTGTCTTGTTTTTTAATTGCATACACATATGACTACTTCTATCTATGTATGCCGAACTTTATTTCTTATAGAAAAGAACAAAGGACGGGGTCCACAATCCTGTATATATCGGCCCCATCTCAAAATGTTTCAGTTTCAAT